AATTAGGTAAAAGGTTCAGAAGGGGCTGCCAGACTCAAGTGAAGGTGGCTACTGCAATTAGCCTCAGAGTAGTCCTTAATCTAAGGCTACTAATGTCCTAGTAGATTTTTTAAAATTTTGCCTCAGTTCAGGGTTCAGAGGAACGCTTGCAGCAAGCCCATCACCGCAGCACACTGCAAAGGGCAATACATTGCCCTCGCTCAGAGCAGGGAGATCCCCCCACCAGTTAAAAAAGCAGTCGAGCCACCACTGCAGCACACTGTTGCCTGTGTGAATGAAGAAATTTTTCAGAACAAGCAAAAACATTTTATTTTAGTTAATATTAAAGATGTCACGAACCCTACATGTCTATTTCTAATTTGAACTGGTGTTAGCCAATGTAGCACATATTGAGATTGATCTCAACAACTGTGCATCTTTAGATTTGCTTGCAGAGAGAAAATACCTGTGGAAGAGGTGGAAGTGAAAAGGAAGTGTGAGCTATTGATCAGAAGCAGCAACTTAGTTACATTAATAGTGTATTGGATAGCGTATTGTTTCACTGGCTTGAATTTGCACTTGTAGGTTTTGCAGCTTTTTCCAGCTCAGGGTTATAATTTCAAAACTTGAAAGGCACTCACTGGTCTGATGGCAATTTAAAACTGACAGCCAGACTTCAGGTGCCATGTGCTAGGGGGTGCCGCTTTGGAGATTTTTTTGCTTTTTGGCTGAACTTATGGAGTACTACTGTAACGAGACAACTTTATTTCGTGTCTTGCTAGTGCAATCTTTCAGCCAGTGTATCAGTAATTATATCTCAAAGTTGCCCTTTCAGAATTTGCATCATAAACAGTTTTTTAGAGAAAGAAGGAAAGATTTTTGGTTTCTGATTGCTGGAAGAGAAGAATGTGTGTGTGTATGTGTGTTCCAGTTTGTTTACATCAAAAAATAATACATAAAGGGGCAAGGGGAATATTGTTAAAAAATATTTCTAAAATATTTCTTATTTTTAAGTCTTTCTTATGAAGCCATTGCTGTCAGATTCTATAGCAATATTTTAAGGTATTCTTTTTTGTGAAGAAATATCGTATTCGTTCTAAAATGTTGTGACCATTTCTGATTTGTTCAATGAAAAATGCTGCATAACCCACCCCAATGAGTACTCTAAAATAAGTACAAAGATGCATTATAGCTTGCTGAATATTGTTGCAAAACATTTTTAGAGATAACACAGGTTTCTGAAAAAGTAGGTATATTTACAGTAGAGAAAATACTTCATGTTTGCTTCTTGTATAATGTACCAGTATGATCTGAACAGATTTGCTTCCAGTAAAATAAAAAATATAAACATCTATTAGATGGAGAAATACACCTATGATGCCATAAACATATAAAATAACTGAAGTATGCCAATAAGGTTGCAAGTTGCTGTTTCAAGGGCCATGACAATGTAATAATATTAACAACAATAAGGACAACAGAGATGTTCAAAATAATTCCAGTTGAGTTTTAAATCCTAAATTGACCTTTAAATGTATAACTGTAATTAAAACTCTTTTTCTGAGATAGATATGTACTGAAAATAATCATAATGAAGGGCCTGCCTCATGTCACCAACAACAAAAAAATGAAATAATCTCCCTTCCCCTTAATATATTATCATTCTCAGTAGACCATTAAAAATGGTCTTATGTAAATCTTGTTCAAAATACCATGCCTATAAACAGACATTACAGCAAATTCTACAATTTTTATTCCTGTAGATATCTTTTATTTATCTGGGCTTGATTCTGCAATTATGCCTGTATACTCACCTGAGAGACAAGGATAAATATAAAATGGGAGTGCACACACAAGAAAATCTCTAACTGGCCAGTTCTCAGTCTTAACAGTCATTTCCGAAGCCCCTTAGCATAACGAGCTCTAATTTTTAAAGAGCTTTAGGTGAGTCTTTTCATTCCCTTTCCTGTTATTAAAGTTTAAGTTCCACTTGCTGTCCACTTTCCTGACAGCTGTCAGATTCAGCAACTGAAATAACCCAGAAGACCAACACCCCCACTCTCCCCAAGGCATTCTCTATATTGCGGCTTTGCAAGAGCTACGGGGCTGAAAAAGAAAGTATTGAGAGAGGTGACTCCCCTCCAAACTTCCACTTTCTCTAAGAGAAAGTGTTACTCTTTGCAGGATCGCATGCCAGTCACAGGTGTCCAATAAAGCCCTGTTGGGGCAAGACTGTCTACTATTTTTATTTGGGAGAAAGGGGAAGAGGTAGTGGCTCATTTTAAACAGCAAATTACAAAAAAAGGAAAACACACACACAAAAACTCACAAAAAAACCCCAATAAACTAAAACAGAAGCAAAAGTCAATGATGAAACTGTGAAGAAAAGGAAATGTTTAGGAAAAAGCAGAAAAGCCACAAGGCAACATTCATTTTCATACCATTTTGTTTTTATGCATTAGAATAGTTATCCCAGAAAGTGCTTTATCTATGGGTATGCAGATCATTTGAAAATACAAAATTATTAAGGAATGGGGACAAAAAACGCACCACACAGACTTACCAACACATTATACATAGTTTTCTTTTTTTTTCCTTTTTTTTTTTTTTTTTTTTTTTTAACTCTTTGAATAGTGCTTAAGAAAAATATGCTGTGTTACCATAACAAACTAAAATACTCTCACAAGCTTTTAAGAGGTCTCTTTCTTTTTAACTTCTTTTGGTTCCAGGTAGGTTTTACTTGTTCCTGTTTTACTTTATAAAACCTTTTGTCAATGACAATGGCTTCAGGAACATGAAAAAAGAGCTGTGAGTATGAAAGAGAGCTGACAGTTGTCTATGATGTTTGTCACTTTCTGTTGCGCCCCTATTTGGTGGGTAAGGATTCAGAAGAAACAGTTTCTAGAATAAAGTTAGACAGGCATTCAAGCTGGCATTATTCAGTAAAGCAAAAAGGAACATTTTCCTCATGTAAAATCATTAGTTAAATCCCCACCACACATAGCTATTGAATAATGGGCATCACTTATTCTCTGCTTCTTCGGTAAGATACTGTAGCAAGATAATGATTTTACAGGACAGATCGTAAAACATTGATTTGCTGCAAATTGCTGAATCCATAAATAATGAGCAGCTCTACAGTTTTTTTTAGTAAATCAATCATTCCCATGAAAATTTGTGTTTTGCCTAAGATAGTATTACTCACAGGTTCTTATCTGTGGACATAAAATGATTTGTACTTTTTGGTAACCTTCAGCTGTTTGGTAAGCTGTTGCTTTTTTAAAACTTCCTGGTAAGTTTTCCTGGATGGGTTGTCTAAAAGCCTTCTTCAGGGTTCTGACAGCAGGTCAGAAAAATAAGCTGTCCATTTCTGCACAGGTACACATGCGCCCCATGGCAAGTCCTAAATAACACCTTGTAGAATATAGTTAATATCCAAGAAGGTAAGCAGAGAATATAAATGGAACTCCATCTCTGTCATCTGTAGTACTAGAACTCTGCCCTAATTTGAAGGTGGATTATATTTTACATGTGTAAGATTATGAAGCCATATGGCAACTGTCTTATCTGGACCCACAAATGTGTTCTTTGTAACAGGCTGAAATCTCTCCTTTATGAAAATATAGCAAAGGCAAAAAAACCTCTATGGATTGAGTGACAGGACTTCTGTCACATATCTGTGGTATAGAAACAGGAAATAGAGGACTAACTAATAGATCAAGTTCCGATTACTTTATTATTGGTAATGTCAATATGTTTGTACTGTGTTTTCTTCAGGCTTTGTAACTCACACTTAGGAAGAGGATCAGTTCTATCATTACCAATTACTACAACAAAATCATTTTAGGCAAAAACAGTTATAGGCAAGCAGAAGTTCAAATTCTGTCAATGAATTCAAAGACTGAAAAAAAACACTGTATTGGTGTTTACAAAAGGATCAGTGTGGCAGGAGGGCTTTTAGTATGGGAGTGTTGAATCATCCCACTCCAACTGCTCTTGCCTGGTGACACTCTGTTTAGCTCCCTTTCGGACAATCACTTCCTCCTCCTCCTCTTCTTCCTCCTCCTCCTCTTCACTTTCATCTGATTCAGCACTGGTTGTGTCTTCCTCATCATATTCCACCTCTTCCTCCTCCTCACTCTCCTCTTCTGCCTGGTGAGACTTTTCATATTTCTATAGTACATTTGAAGAAATGAGAGACACTACTTGTTAGCCAGTGGCTGTGCAAATGTGAACAGTTGTTCCATGTACAGAAGAACTAACATGCTAGGAAAATAGCTTTCCTACATTATGTGAACATTAGGAATTTAATAGAATTAAACAGCAAATACTCAAAAACTTTTAACAAGAGATATCTGTTGCTTATTCAAACCATTGACTCAAATCCTTCAGTGTCAATTTCCATAAACTGATGATCATTTTCCCTGATGCTTTTTGAATTCCTTCTTTTAGTATATTATTGTTTACATTTTTAGATTAAAAACAAGCGAACTATATCATCTTGGGAGCCTACGGTGCAAATGCATGCAATGAATAGAGAGGAAATGTATCCAAGAATTCTATACTCTTCAATTTAGTTACTATACATGACAACAAATACTAAAAGTGCAAAATTAAATATTATCATTCAGTGAAGAGTTCAAAAGTGAGAGGGGCCCTGAATGTATGTATGGCAAACCTGCTCTGCCAAATCCACACCTAGATGAATGTACTCTAAAAGACCTTAAAACTCACTACTGAGTAAGCTATCAACACAGACAGTAACTCATGGTAGTACCATGTTGTAATGTCATGTCTCAGTTTTGTACCTCCATGGGATTGACAGTAATAGTCAAAGCAGAATCATCCCAGTCCATTTCATTTTCTTTACTTCCTTCACTGTCTGAGGAGCTGTGCTGATGAGCTGTCCGAATTCTGTAGACCCCCAAGGCTATGATGAAAACGAGAATGCTCACACAGACTATGATAACGACAGTAGCCACACTTGGAATGACTGAAAGAAAAGGCAAAAAAGGCAGTGGGATCATATCTGTGGGACAAATTGTCTAAAAAAATCACTTCATTGTCTATGTTATGCCTGTAGAACCTCCTTCTTTGGATTGAATTTCTCAACTTTCTGCTGTCTGCCTGGAGCTACAGGGGATGGTGACAAGTGACCATCTACTAGAGGAGAATATATATGAATGGCATTTAGAGATAGCTAATAATGAGCAATCTTACCTAAATAATAATGAGCAATAAATCTTACCTAAAAAGTGAGTTTGCCTACCTCTTTTAAACCAATTTACTACAGAAGACAAGTAGTCAAAAAGTGCAGAAACAATTAGTTTCAGAACAACCCATAATGTTATTTAATCTGCATATTATTCCTGATTACGGCTAAGTAAAGTTAAGTAAAGTGTAAACATCACATGTGAGGAAAACGAATATCTCAAACTTATTTTTAGAAGATTTCAAACACTTGTACTATGCTTTCAATCTCAACTTCTAAGACCTTGCAGTGGTATTTGCATGTATTACAACCTTGCTGGCAGTCTCTTAAGGATTCAGACATAACTCTTCACTGACTCTTGCTCTTGCAGAACCCTCTTTCCAGCTAGTCACAGGAAGGCACAGGAAGGTCTTTAAACCAGCATTACGTTATTAGCTATATAGCTAATATATAACTGTACAAGTTCGTAGAGCAGCAGTGCCATTTTCTGTGTACCTTTGCCACCTAGGTACCGAAGGGCCATATGATACAGTAATTCTGGACCCCATTATATTGCCCTGCTTTGCCTGTAAGAGTGCAGTACTTCTTCATTGTTTCTCACAAACATTAAGGTTTAAAAAACAAAACAAAACAGAAAACACTAGTTGGTAACAGTTCTGATATTAGCAAAATATCTGTACAAACCTCCAGAAGAATACAGTGATTTTGTCTTAATAACTACCTGTTAACTTCATACACTTTGCATCAACTTATCTCTTTACATAGGTATCCTGCAGCTAAAAACATCTCAGGATTAAGTATTTAGGACAGTATCTTTGGCCTGGATTTAGTTTCATTGAAAAGGCTTCTGATCTGGGTAGATATGTTAAAATACATAGCTAAAACATTCTATTCAAATTCTGGATTTAATATATGCTAATACCTCTTGCCCACACTTGGCTAGGTGGAGCTGTCTTCTCTCCAGATAGTGCTAGACTGAGGTTTGTAGAGCTGCTAACAGAAGGACTGCAGCAATTAGTTACTGAAACAAAAACAAAACAAACCACTCCATTTGCTCAGCAAGACGTGGGCAGAAATCAATATGCCATAGAAATTCAGATGTACAAAGACAATGTGAGCATAAATATTACCCTTCATATCACTTATTACTAGAAATGTCTGTCTTTGTTAACTAGATGGGTTGGAGGAGACAGCCTTTAATGAAGACTTTAACAAGAATACTAGCTTTTAATTGTAAATTACCTCCTCTTCCGAAAGAAGAGGATTAAATGTTGCCTTCCTTTATACCTATGCACTGATATATCTGTGAGGTTGTACAAAGCATAACTGTGGACTCCAGGGCTTCATTTGTTGACTAGGCTGAATCAAAAGGGAAATACTGACACAGCAGAATCATTAAGAGCAGTTTCTGTTAGATTCTCACATACCTGGGCTGTGAGAAGCGCTTATGCTTCCCTCTGGGTGGTAGACAGGTTGGAGAAATTGTGGCTGTACCATCATATGATTTACATGGTCCATAAAGTTGGAGCTGGAGCTGTGTAGAATATTAACCTGGCACAAGACAAGAATAAGAGATCAGATATTTAAAACTGCTCTGTATTCCAAGTGTGCTGGCACCACACATTGCACTGTATAATGAAGGTCAACAGCAGATAGGAACATTATTATATAGAGCTTATGGACCAAATTCATATTTTAGCCTAGAGAAAAATATGAAGATTAACATATTTCTTGGTAGTAGTAATACTGTGGTGACAGGGGAAAGGAGGCTCTTTTTTAGTTTTACCTTTATAGTAAATTGTGCCTTTTTCTCTATGTTTATCAGTTTGCAAATGTTCCCTGAAAGTTAATGGGAGGTTAGTGGGCTGGACGTTGTCAGTATAACAAGCTGGTTGAGACCAAAACAAAAACTGACTTTCCTCCTCAAACATACCTGAAATTATGTAAATTACCAGGAATGATCTTCATCTGATGAAGAACATTTTATTAAGGTCATTGCAAGGGAATAGGGAACTTGCCAATACTGAAAAGGTAATTTCAGTAAAGAAAAGTATGACCGGTAAAGTTAATAAAAAGATTGTAAGGAAAAATCATGATACTGTGATGAATTAACTTCTGCATTTTCAGAAAACATATATAATATATTTTATGTTTTGGTTGCACCAGTGATGCTAACCTGGTCCTTCACAGATGGATCCACACCCAGGAGCATCCACAGAAGTAACACTTTGTATCTGCATGAAACTTAGAACTTCTCCCTTGTGTAATTACAATTACAACATGCCAGTCTTTCTACGAACTTTAAAACTCAGTGTGGCTCTGAAGAAGAGGCTAGTGCTTGCTCATCTTCGAAGTTTGACTGAATCATTGCTTACCTCCAGGTTAAATTCATTGCTGGTGTAACGCCCATTTAGCTCTGAGCACTTCACCCTGAACTTTCTGTCAAAGGTGGCAGAAGTGTACCAATTCCGATACCTAATCTGCCGAAGAACCTGTTCATAGTTGTGCATGGTGTCCACGCCTGAAATGGTAGCAAAAGCAGTTAATAATCAGAAAGAGATGCTATTTTAAAAGGCCTCTGTGCAGTCCAGGAGAAGTCAAATGTTCAGAGAAAATACAAAATTTGTCAGAAAAATCTGAAAATGATATAAAATAGTCTCTGATAGTGACACCAGTCCATACTAACTTATGTGAGAATAACTTTTGCAAATGACTGTCTGTCCATAGTGAAGAGGTAAAATTACAACAGCAAAGGTTTAGAATAAATTACTTAGTAACTGAAAAAAAAAGTCAATGAGTTATCAGCACTGTGTACTTGCAGGTGCCACTGCGATGGTCCACAAGAACCCCAAAATTTGTCTTAATGAAAGCAGAGTTGCTATTTTCCCTGTTTGGTGAGTGGCAGGAGTTGTGCAGAACTCAGGCAAGGCTGTGCTGCATTCTACAGGATCAACATGGCACACTCAAAGAGCAAGATATAGTTATACTTCTAGGGACATAATCTCTTCTATACATCCTGGTACACTATCTATACATCTTATGTCCAGTTGCTTTAAAACTTGTTATTTCATAACGAGAATGTAATTGTGGATGGGACTAAATTAGGGGAAGTTCGTGAACATACCGTAGATTGAATATCCTGCTGTAGAATTTGTGGCATCGAGATGTTTTCCTTGAAGCTCCTCATGATCTAGTTCTAAACACTCTTTTTGGGGATCTAGTTCCATGCCAATGACCAAAATGTCACAGAAATCCAGGTTGTGAAGCATTTCCTCTAATACAACTGGCTTGTTTGCTGTGAACACATAACATACACCATAAAAAATAAGCATCTCAGAGAAAGGATCGCAAAATAGCTCCTCAGTTGTTTATGTGCCTTGAACAAGGGCTTTCAGTTTTCACAAAGATGGCTGAATTACTCTTCACTCATATTAAAAACACAGGCCACTTGAAGCAGATCAAAAGTAAAGTGTTCTTACTCACATGATGAAATGACAAAGGCCTACAGAGATAGAAGATAAATTGCACCACAATAAAAGGCATTCAAGAACAGTGCTGGAAGTATAAATTGAAATTTGATCCTGGAAGGAAATTCACATTAACAATTCCGCTTTTCACTACTGTATTGATACCAGGTTGGTTGTGCACATTCATTCTTGTCTCAAGGAAACCTGAAGTGGAAAAATAATACATCAAATATATCTATGCTTGCATGATTTTCTCAGCTACTCTGTGGCCCATGAAGCATTCTGCATTACAGAAACTACTTTGCTGTCTATCCAAGAACATGGTCTTGTCATAAGTGGCATGATCCTACTTTATGGGACTTGGAGAAATAGAGTTGGAAATTGAGTAACCTTTGATGAGTAAGTAAGGTTAAAGAATGTCAATGGAAGAACAGTGTATAGATTTGCTATTTTACTTCTCTGGCTAACTTAGCACAAACTAGATGGCAAGACTGCTTAACCAGCTCGTTGAGATTGTCATCACAGATACAAAGATGGGAATCTTGAGGTTGTGATCCATTTTATGAGTCTCAGTTTACAGCATATATGTGGAAGGAACTGCATTAACCCAGATCCCGAACTCCTGATACAGAGAATTTAGATATATGATCTCTAGATATCACTAGAAAGTGTTCTACCTTGTGCGAAAACTTCAGAGCCCACTCAAACTTACAGGATAGCTAAATCCGAATCACTCAGAGGCTGATGGGCTGGAATTGCCCCTAGGAAGTTGGAAGACAGACAGACAAGAGCTGGGTTGCAGGGGGCAAGGAGGGGGCACTGATTTCCTACAGGACCAGGACCAATGGCTACAGGTTGGCACTCAGGATCCCGCACAGGCAGAGTCGGCTTCAGAGCCATGGCCATTCTGCTGCCTGGGGCAAGTGCCTGCTCTGCCTCTGATTAGACACACACCTAGCTGGTCCTGGGATGAGGGCAGACAAAGTGACTAAATGCTTCATTACAGCATGTATGTCTGCTGCAGTCATGATTCTCAGGTTATATAATTTTCCAGTAAGTGGAAAGAGAGCCATGGCTAGATATAGCCATAGGTGTCATAGCCAGAGGGTGTCATAATGTTTTAGGAATGTGCAGTATCATATATGCAGTGTCTTTTAAGAGTGTGAAGGATATTGCTCACCCTTATATGCAAGCTTTTTTTTTAATACCTTAAATAAATGCAATGAATACTGCAATATACTTTCCATTCTTTGAAACAATCATCATTAAAAAAAATCTTTGAAAATGAGGTCCACAGGATTGTTGTTTCCTGGGAAACTGAGGCATAAGGTAACTACATTACTTATGAAGTTTACTGATTTCTGGTCAGTAGCACAAATGGTAACAGAACAGTAGCTGGAAACAGAAGAACAGACTGAAACGTCAAGCACAGTCAATCACTGCTTTCCACTCTATTAATATAAGTAAAAATAGTATATTAAACAATTCTAAAGAAACTATTCAACAGAATACATGGAGAAGGATTTTAGTAGTGCAAAGGAATTATTCTGAAACAGGACAGCCACTGAATGGGAAGGTGGCTTTTTATGAAGCACATACAGATGCGCTTCAATGAGTAAGGAAAGGGAATAAGGTTTGTTAACTTTTCAGTATATTTATTTGTACCGAGTATGACATGACTGTTGCTTAACATGGTCTAATTTCATTTGCATGAATTCCTTTGTGTTGTTTGTGCTATACTTAAAATAATAAGAGGTCATATTATCGAATAATATTTAAAATAAATATACAAACCTTTATCATTTTCTTTTAGGTCCACTGGATACTCCATTTTAGTGACTGTGCTGACAATCCTGATATCAGGTAACAGAGTAACACCTCTTTCAGTTTCAAACTGTGCAGCTGGTCTAGCAAAGTGGTCCATCCCACTTACTGTAATCTTGGGCTCATTGGCCTGAAACACCATTACATATGCATCTATATCTGGGATACTAATGCAGACATCTTCACCAAAACATCTGAAAAATACATTATTCATTAACTGCATGTAACACTTTGCACATCAGAGACACATGGCACTTCCACTGTCCCAAATCTATCTGATGTTTCTTACTGTTTTCTCAGATTGGTCTGTTTCATACTTGGACACCGCTACATATAAGGACATATATCTGCATCATCACATAGGTTAGCACTGCCAGTAACAGCTCCACTCATCTACTTCTACATTCACAGCTACTGAAATTACATTCATGACAAGCTCAATCTATAGTAAGGTCACTACGAGAAAGGTTTTGGTGCTTAACTGATGTTTAACAAAGAGCATTAAATATAATTATATGGTGGCCACAAATTGCAGTAAACATGTTCTGAAGGCGATATCTAGTGCCTGTAATATATATATATATTTTGTTATATGTGAATAAAGGGCCTAGTTATCAATTTAAATCAGATATTTCATGATTTCATGAACTCATTCTTGTAGCCCCTGAATTTTGCCGAGGGTGGGGTGGAGGTAGGGCCACATTAGCATTTTTGTTGAAGCAGCACTGTATTTTTGGAGAAAATTGTCTACTATCTCTGCTTTTCTGCACCATGGCACACTAAATCAGAAGATGCTCTCCACACCCTTTGGCTGCCCCACAGCGTTAGGCTAACCTAATGCTAAGTAAAACCTGCTAAATGCTAAGTAAAACCTAAAGTAGCCCACAGAAGGTGGATGTGGCATTCTCTGCACCAGTTTGTTTCACTCAGCAAATCTGCTGTACCACAGACCCAGCCCAGGGGAGCTGAGGCAGGCAGCTCCTTCGCTGTGTAGAACTCTCAACACTGTACACGGATACTCACACAGTTGTTGCATGAGAACAGACGGGCACATGGATTTCTGCTTAACACAGGACACTTATGGTTGAATAATGACAGCCATATAAGGATATAGACAAACACTGTTTCTAGCATAGCCATAATGTTCTTATGAATGTATAGTCTGTTAGTTATAATAGGCCAGCTTAAAAAGTCAGGACTGCAGCTGTGGCCGAATAACCTGTGGCTTTTTTAAAATGTACATTTACTAAGAATATAAATGCATGTGCAGTTCAGACTGTAAACAGAACACAACTAAATAACATTCACAAGAAAAGATTCTTAAGAGGAAAATACTGAAAGAAAACCAAAAAGTAATTCAGCATAAAAGTAAATTAATGTAATGCCTTATGCCTAGTAACATAAAACTTAGAATTATCAATATAATTTCAACAAAAGTCTCCTTTTTACATTTCCAGAAGAAAAAAAGTAATTAAAAATGCTTCTAATCAGTTTAGTTCAAGTGTAACTTACTGGACTTTAGACAAGACTTTGAGACGCCGTACACCTGCGGTAGGAAACTGCCTGGAGTTGATATATGAGACCTTTTGGAGAGCTTGATTTATATTTTCAATGTCATCTCCTTCCATGACAAGGACTGACTGGGAAGGGTTGAAGTGATACTGGGAGAAATGCATATGGTGATTAGTATTTACAGTACCAAGTTCAGAGTATAGAACAGCACATCTTATGGAGTGTTTCTTGGAGACAACTTTAAAATCTAATAATTCAAAGGAAAATTTCCTAATAGCTATTGTTGTCTGAATGCATATGCTGTTCCCCAAAGCATGCACTTATCAGTCATCTATGTCATCTCTTACAATTATTAGTACAATTAATTTTAAAGTAAATAAGTCTATATTAGCTCTACCATTTCCTTGGAGCCTTACTAACTTTGCTGATAGAATTTCTACAACTGTATAGTTCAAAAACATAACTTGCTATAATTATTATTCTCACATAATTTTTTGGGTCAAGTATATTCCCATTCTGGAAATACTGCCCTCAATGAAAGTAGGTGGCAGAAGCACTTGTCCTGCTTTCTGGTTAGTTTTACCCTGGGCTCCCTTTTTGAGATATATTTCAGCATGAATGAATAAAACGATTATAATGTTTTCCTGCTACATCTTCATTAATGTCAATCACAATCAAGGGGATTCTGCTGTCTCTGTCTCATGATCAATAAGGGGTGTCATGATTTAAAATGGAACTGCTGCTTGCATAAAGCCAGCTGCTCATTTGAGCTGACACACTCTGCCAATTCGGTAGCTATTCCTAACAGTGCATTAACCACTAAACAGCCTTGCTGACTAAGAAACTTTGCTCCTGTATCTGCATAGCAAATTATTATTATCTTTATTGTAATTCATTATGATTTTTTTTGTCTGTTTTATTTTTCCAAAAACCATCTCTGCAGCAGAGAAAAACAGATTAGCTCTGCTTAAATTCACACCCCACTGCTAAAAATACAGAACACAAAGAATTGCGCCCTCCTACCATATGCAGTTCCTTCCTAAATCTGGGTAGGAACATGTTCTATTATATACTGAGTGTCTACACTACCTTACAAAGAGTTAAAAAGCAAAAGAGCAAATAGCCTGTAAGGAAGCGAATGAAGCACAGGGCTCTCTGTCAAAAACACAAGAGGCTGCTGGGTTCAAGGCTTGGGCAGGAAGGTCACAGTGTCCTGAGGGATATTTTCTAACAGAGGAGGGGACTAATGCTAGGCACAATTTGCAAGCAATTTTTTGTTTTGTTCACTAGCAACAGAACAGAATAGAATAATCAAAAGGAGACTCTAGCAAGCTAGTTAACTTGATAGCTCAGCTGCCAAAACACTGGAATGCTGCCAAAAGGACGGGAGAAAGCCCTAGTCTTGAGCCATTTTGGTGTTTCTCATTAAAAAAAGTTAAAAATAGCAACAGTTTAGACAGTGTCTCTGAGAGCTCTAAGGGATACCTGAAAATTGGGCTGCAGACATATAAAGAAAACCCAACACTGCTATGTAAGAAATTGCATTACAACTGCATTCGGCTTTTCTAGGTGGTTAGAAAGGTGATGCTCCAGGAGTCCAGAGTGACTGGTTAAAACTCCTAGTATCAATTGGGTACCACGCAGCCTACTAAATACCACACAAATACTCACAAAAAAACCTATCAAACATGCTTGTCTCAGATCAGGTATGTTTATTTTTGACACCAGACATTCTTTCTTAATTTATTGTGGAGGGTCATGGGCGAACTGTTCCCCTTTGAGCGGCTTTCCGTCAGCCCTGTTAAGAAACTGAGCCACAAAGTACCTCTGCCTGTACCTTTCATTTTTCCCTCCTGCTGTTACATTGACTGTTGAGCTAGCTGAGGAGGTAAAAATTAAAGCAGTAAATTTAAAGAACCACTCTGCCTCTTCTATAGCTTGGAAAACATTTTGAAGAAAACGAGGAAGACAATCCCTCATCTTCATTTTTCGCACAGCACTAATAGTACAGGAAGAAAGGCAATCACCCATGCTGGAGTAACAGTGGGAGGTTTAACAGATTCTTCCAATCCCCTGAAACAGCAAATTCTTTGAATACTTTTGAATTTTGGAATATGACAATAGGGGAGGAATTAGTGTTTTTTTTTTTTAAAAAAAACACTCTCCAGCAAGTGTATGCTGCTTTAATTCATGTCAAAATCCTATGCATATCTTACTGGCATGGAACTTGAGTTCCTAAAATAAAAAATCATCGTGCTCATTGTGTGCACTAACATTTTAAAAGAGTTTTTACCTGTAAGTACGTTATTTCCACAGAGAGGCAGTGAAGTGAAATTCTTTAATGATGCCCTTGATATGATTAAGTAAAAGAATTACTTTGAGGAGTCTTTGTTTGTAAGTAAAAGCTGAAGTTAGCAAAATGGCACCTCAATTTTAAATTGCACTTGCAATTTGAGTTTTTACCGTGGTCTTCAGAAACATACTGGCTATACTATACCACTGTATCTTATTACTTAGAATTTCAGAGTCTCCTGTTTTGTACAACAGAAATAGTTTAGCTACTACAAATGTATTACATAGCACTTTCACAGCATAGGCTAGCTCAAGTTTTACATTACCAACCTCCTGTTCCCTGAAAAACGGAACACCAAAGGAAATGTGTTGTTTTAAAGGTCTGCATGATCTGCAGCCAAATTATCTTTCCAGGAATTTTCATTTAATTTACTTTAATTTGAAGCATAGCTGTGGAAGATTGTATTGTGACTAGTGGACTACAAATATTTTAATTCTAGCTATCCTTTGAAATACATCAAGAAGTTTTCCAGCTTACTGAAATATAGATGGGAAGGTATATGTATTAGGCAAAAGAATACTTACCATCTAATAGCTACTTCAGTAAAGAAAAATACTGTTCATGTAAACATTAGAGAAGTTATTCAAGAACCTCCATGCATATTCAAAAGAAATTATTTCTATGAATGCAAAGCAATCTTGCTACTGTGTCAACAGAAACGTCATTTTCCTTTCTTATAACAGTGTGACTGCATCAGTAAAGATTTATAAGCACAATATATGCCATATGCATAATAAGGATGAGTAATGACTTGCATGCAAATGTCAACTCTGAATTTCTCGACTTTGATATATTTTATTGTTCAGCTTTAATATCTCATAATATAGTTTTCCTCTTGGAATTCCTTTTTCAAGTATTGGACTTATTTCAAGACATTTGAACTTATTTCTGAGTTTCTTCTATATGAGAGAGATATGCTGTATATGTGGTCTGTTGCTTTAGAGCTATTTGAAATCAAAATTTAGTAATTCTTTGCAACCATTTTTCTGTAGAAGTACCAAAATAAGAATGAGTACACAACCTGGAAATTCTTACAGACTCTGAAATAGCAGAAGCACATTACTTTCTGAGCATCTAACTTTGAAATAATGGAAACATTTTTCTTTGCTATGTCACAGCTCTTCTACTGTTCTGCTTTTTCTTTGCATGACTTTATGGGAAATTACATTCCTTCTGGGAGTACATTTGTACTGTGTGTACTCTACCTTGGGCTCTCCACTTCATAAATCAGCTCTAAATTTTTATCAAAGATGATGTCAGTTCATCCCTCACCTTTATTCCTTGTCCAAGACTCTCAAGAGAATTAATATCCAGACCTTCCTTGCAGGCTTGCAAACAGGAAATCACTTTCTGACTCTCAATTTTGCCAGGCCGGATAGTAAGACTTGCCAAGCTGCCATGGAAATATTGAGCAAATCTGGGCTTGGTGACTTCACCTCCTGCAAGAAAGAGAATACAAAGTAATTGCCGATGCAAATACACACACACACACAAAAGTATGGAGTAATTTACGGTGTTTTAATATATGTTTAAAGAGTTGATACCAATTTTAGTCACGTGCTTTTGCAACTCTTTAACTGCCTTAGAATGAACATAATCCTAGGTACGCCTTGTGCACTGTTCGGTGGTACTCAGTACCAGCCTCCTATCTTTAAGACTGCCAGGTGTTCATTCAAATGCTGGGAAGCATATTCTGAAATGAAGAATGGCTTCCCAAACCTGTGCCCCAGAAACACATAACATTTTCACAAGTGTAGAAAAGATAGCTATTGGGCTACTTCAACATTTGACCAGGCTGCAAATAAGAAAAATTAAATGACCTTCCTCAAAAGCTTATCTGAGTGATGACAGCATTGTGAGTGATGAACATGAACTTGTAGGAGTGTTTAAGGCCCTACCTTCACTTATACAGACTGTCTAATAGAAGATCATTTATGTAGGCTTTCTTTCCCTCCTCCCCAAACATAGCACCTGAGAAGCAAAGGTCACAGGCGTGCTCAGAGTGGTGGCATAGCTGGAGGAAGCAAACTGCCGCACTCTGTACCAACTACTGTTTCTAAGGAGATGCTGTAAATCCTCAGCAGAGAATACAGGCCAACGCACAGCACTATGGTAGAGAGATTGTAGGTTTTCCTTTACCCAAACCAGTGCATTTAATACCAGATCAGGTCTCTCCACTGTACATTAGGTGCTGTAGCTAACACTCTATTCTGCCTAAATCTGTGCAGGAACACCGAGCTTTAGGAGTTGTCAATAAAATGTGATTACTGCCTGCAACAGTGATCACAGCATCTAAATTACCCTTGGGATATTTAGTAATTTACTCATCCTCTTCTAGGAAAATTTTTAGAGCTTGTCTTCCCTGCAAGTGTTAGCCTGCGTCAGGATATGTGAATTACTTCATACCTTGGGCCTGAGAGGAGTAAGAGAGCCATACAACAGTGAAGACAGACAGACAGACTAATTAGATTGGCAGCTGATCAGATTTGCAATTGCTATCTCAGAGGTATCTCAGTTCTACAGTGTTGGTAGCCTACGTGTAATAAAGGAGAATAAGCTAATTCTCCTAGGCCAGCTAGCTTGAACTTTAACTTGGAGATTCGTATGTGCAGTGGGGTTAAGACTGGAACAGAGTGACGAGTTTACCTTAAGATGCTCTTGTAACCTAAGGGTCTGAAAACCACCTCTTCTATTTTGTGCAATAGCACAAGCTTTATGAAGAAGACTCCAGTTATTCTATGTGTACTGCAAGAAATCAGAGTATCAAGGTGGGCTATGTCTTCATGGAAGGAGTTAGTTTTTGTTCTTTTATATTAACAATGCAGAACAAACTGTTTCTCCAATCCAAAGGAAGATCTTCAGAGATTATTTTTTTTCCCCATCTTTCATTTCTCTGTGAATTCTACAGAAGACTTTTGGGCACTTTTTTTGAGGTTTCATAGAAATTTCTGAATTAGCTCATACAGTAATTAGGACTTTCTGATACTTACCAAGATAATTATTTGGTAAATAGGTAGTACACCAAAGGGATTTTTCAGTAAAAAAAAAGAAAAAAGTTCTATTTATATATAAATATATATATACACACATTGTCTTTAAAAGTACATATTGCTACTATTACAGCAGCAATGTATCCAAACAGAAAAAGACAAATTAAAAAAGCAAAAAAACCCTTTCTTTCCCCCCACTGAAAGGAGACAGAGAAAACCAGATGAGAACTTATGCACATGGGAAATCAGTGTGTGCTTTGAAGCTTCATATTCTCAATGCTTCACACACACGTGAAGAAACCAAGTTCCAAGGCTAAAATATCAACACTAATCCTGGAGCTTTGAAATGTTTTCTACATTTACATTACATTTTACATTAAATCTTCCAGTAGATCTTAATAGGAGATGCAAAATGAGAAGCTAGGTATTTAAATATGAAACTAGCTCATTAAAATGCACAAAGGAATACACAAGAAAATGGCACAAAGAATTCTCAGCTGAGCCTGACAGTTGCAAATATTATGAACCAGCTGAAGTGAATCTATAGAGCAACATGATCGATACTGACATTCATGTATAGGCACGTCAAGTTTGTGTAATTTGGGGTGGTATTTTTTTTTAGCTTTGGACTAGCTCTAGCCTGGTGCCATGGACTAAACATACATTTGGAGTTTGAATATATTAGGTACATTCCTGGAGTGCATTTCCAGTTTAGTTGCATCCAGGATGAATCTAATTCATATGCTCTTAACACTGCTCCAGTGTGTGACTGACAACAGAGTAAGTGAGCGCAAGAAGGAGGTACTTGCTAGATGTGTGGTCCTGATCCAAACTGATACTTACGTGGATGTACCCTCAGCAGCTCCATAAGTGCTTATCTTTATTCTGTACTAGACAAAACATGCCAATAAACTTCAAAGAAATCCATACTAGGCTATAGTCTTGCCAGAAGGTAAGAACAGAAAGTGTCTCCATTTGAGGTCATCACCTACATATAGCAATTTTTAAGTTCATATATATCATAGAATCATAGAATGCTTAGGGTTGGAAGGGACCTCTAGAGATCATCTAGTCCAACCCCCCTGCACACGCAGGGTCACCTAGAGCACGTGGCACAGGACTGCATCCAAGCGGATATATAAACTTTATTTGCAAGTTTTTTTTCGTGATGTGATATCCCAGATCCTTTCCCCACATGCAATGGGGAGAATCATTGTCAGTTTGGTTCACCTCACTGTTGGTCATTTAGTGGTTTGGTAAGAACCCCCAAATACCCTCTAATTCCAGTTGCTTAGCTAGGATGAAAAGCTGAACACAGAAAAATAACCTAGAGTGTAATTTGGATACAGAAGATAAAATGCAACCACAATTTTTCTCCTCAGCAGTTAGGAACTGCATTGTTAGGTCTTTCCTTTATGCTGCGTTACTCTGCCCACAACTGAAAGTACAAGTTCTTGCTTGATCGTAACATTTCACTTGAGGGAAAATTCCATTGGGTCATTTACAGTGATACAGTAATTGCCCATAAATTATAATACATATAAGGAGTATTCACCAAGCCCAAACTGTGCTTTTAAAAATGCACTTAGAGATGATATACAAGGAACTGCCAGCTGACCATCTGGAGCCATTAATGTCTCTGACCTATATAGTTCTTGTTGAAACTCATCTGTCCTGTAAGGAACTGATGTGATTTTTTGAGTTTAAATGGTGTTTATTGCTACTAAAATAACTGTATAACTTCAGTTTTATATTTAGAAAGTATAGAATTCATTCAATAGAAAACATTCTCATTACAGACTCTCCCTTTCAACTCTCATCTGTTTTTCCTTTCCTTCCTTAAAGGTAAGTGTTGTAGTCTCTTACATTTGTGAGGCAACAGAGGTCACAATGTTATTCAGACTCTGATGATAAAATTGAGTGTTGCTTTTTCACCTGACACAGCACTTAGTTCCACTCCCCAAATCTGGCAGATACAGACGGGTGGACATTGGCTTTTTGGCATTAGCTCAATCCTCATAATGGGGAGATGGTGTCAACAGACTGTGGGAGGCAGCCAGAGGAACTGTCAATGTACATAATTTTTCACTATAATGCTGCTCACTGCTTAGTCATTGTCAAAGCGGCTTTTATCACATTCCTGAGCTGCTGAAATAAGCTTTTCTGCTCTGGGACTCCTCATGTTCTGTGCTGCATCAAGTTTTTTCTGCCACCTCATCCAGTAGAGACAGTGGGCTCCATCCCACCAGAGCTTTACCTGGGGTTAGTTTGGTAAAGTCTTTCTGAGTGAAAGACTTTTCATGAACACTGGTGGAGAGAATGAGGATAGCAAACACTAGCACCATACATACATAAGAGGAAGAACACAACAGAAAAGAACATGTGCACAATGCCCTTAGTGGGGAGTGATCAAGCTGAGAGTAATAGGAAGACTTTAAAATATCACTGTACTTGGTGTATTCTTAGAGAGTCATAAGCAATTATGGTTGGTGCATGAAATTTCAACTACAACAGACCAAGAACAAAATTAATTTTAAGCTAGTAGGTTGCAGGCACCTGTCCGATGTATGGGCAAGTAAATCGCAATGACTGCCTCACACATGCGGATAAAAACAAACGCTTCTAGCATACACTTACCTTGTCCCTAGCATCTGAAGTACATCAGTCACAATGTGGGGAGGCAAAGGACTGTCCTGTAGCTAATTCCGACCCCAAGCAGCAGGAGGTTCTGCTGTACACGATAACAGGGAGTGCTGGGGGAACTGAAGATTCTCAGGGTCTTTGTCATCACTGGAGCAAGTGGCTATTTTCTTTTTTTTTTTTTTTTAATTTCGAGTTGAAGTATGGTGGAAGTTGATTATCACTGTATTTTATAATTATTGTGTTTTGATGACACAGAGATGTAAAGGGCCATTTGCGTTAATTTGCCGATTTTTATACAGCACAAAACAAATCCCTTCATTGATCTCAGATCTTGCAGGCCTTTCTACCCTTGTCTAATAATAAAAATCAGGGCAGCCTAAGCACTATGAGGTTTTCAGCACGAATAATGAATCAAGAGGATTTCCAACTGAGATGTGGTTCTTAGACGTTATAGACTCTGGTTACACTTAGGTAGATAATTAAGAACTGACCAATTTGTGATGTGAACAAAAATACTCAGGTGAATTTGAGACTTGCTGCAAGACTTTTTGGCTGTGAAACTCAGAATTTATCCCTTCCTTTTATATGCCTTTTTGGGGATTTGATCCTCAGTGATATGATTACTCTCCAACTACATAGCTCTTAATATAATCCTTTTGCCTTCAATTGTAAGTGGGTTCAGTGATGCAGTGATTGATATAACTTTAGAAGATAAGGTTATTCTGCAGAAAGACAGTTAACAATTTGGTGCCCCATCTAGATTAGGGAGAGAGCAAAATGACAGAAGAACACAAGAGAAAAATAGAATAGGAA